AAATACTTAAATCGGAAACGATTTAGTAAGGTTATGTTATATTTTGTCATATAGTGCAGCAATATGAAACTATTATACAACAAACCATGATGAACTTGTTTTGTAGAAATGAGTAGTACAACTTAATTATTGTATTACAGCTGTTTTTACTACAATAATATTTTATAATTATGATTCAGTCTTAAAATAACTTTCTAATACCTCTGAATAGCTGCCATATTTAACAAAAACCTAAGACAGTTTTAAAGCTAAATCTACTGTCGGTTTTACTAGTATTTTAGACAAAACCAATGTTAATTAAAGATTTTAATCATTAGTAATATTAGCATAATCTTATTACTAAAAAAAATCAAATTTCATAAATTTAATTTTTGTTTCACACTGAAAAAGTATTAGAAATATGAATCAAACTCGAGGCGCTTAAAAATTTAGTATTGTATGTGCTATATAATTAACAGTAATTCTTGCTGCGCATCCAAAAACGACTTTATTGTAGGTCATACATTATGTCTAAACCGCGTTATAGATATCTCTTAAGTAGATACTGCCATTTTACTAATATCGCCTTGAATTTACTTTTATGACAAATATAGAATTAATTTGTTTTCACCAGATACATTTAAAAAACTAAAATGTTACTGATTTTGATATGCAACCTAACCTCAAAATTGAAAATTTATAAAACAGTTATAAAAGTTTAAAAAAACATTTGTTTAAAGTCTGTGTAAATGTGTAGTAACTGTTCGGTAACTGCGTTCAACAAATCTTATAGAATTTACAAAAGAACCAAATAGTTCTGTAATACTGCTCCCATTTTGTGTTTATTACTGTTGAAAGAATGTTCCGAAAATGTTCTTAGCTAATATTCTATTTTATAAATTTTGTTCTGTAAATATTTTTTCAGCTTTTATAAAATATCAAATTGTTACTTGGGATCATATGTGTCCATATTTGCTTTGCTTTAAATATAATAAAAGGAGGGGCTTTTTTACCTTTCGCATTGCATGCAAAGAGCACTGATGTGTTTTATATTTTTTAAATTTTATTCTAGTTTTTCTTAATTTTATATTAACATTTGTCTTATGTTCACAATGTGTCTTCTATTCACATTTGTCAGTGAATTGTAAAAGAAAAAAATACCCATGTACGTTGTAAATTAAATCTGTGTTACGCTGAAACCTTTTCTAAAAAATTTCATTTAGTTTTTCTGAACATAAAAAAATTTGAAAATTGAAAATTGTCAAAATAATCGTAACTAAAGTAAATTTGGGCGTCGTTAATATACAATTTGTTATTCGATCAAACGTTCGTTTAGGCACGTTGTAACGTTCATATATTCTAAAAATAATTATATTTAAATGAACGTGAGACACAGTAAATTTGTATGGATTATCGTTTAAGGTTTATACTAAATTTTAAGAATAAAAGCATGTCTTTTTATCACAAATTAATTAAATAGTATTTCAGTTACAAATACCATTGCTTTAGTCATTTTTATCACAAATAAATTAATAGTATTTCAATTATAAATGCCATGGTTTAATAGTGTTACATACCCGTAAAGTGTGCACTGGTCTCGTTAGTTTTTAATTCTTTATTTCCTTTGGTCATCTATTTTAACTTTTATAAGTCCTAATAAATTTAAATATATTGTTTGTTGACATTCTTCTAACCTGTTCCAAGTAATCGTCACCGTCATTCAACTTGACAACCAGTAGGTACGTTTTTCAAAAGAAAATGTTAGTGGTATATTAAGAAAGTTTTGACATACGATGTATTCTATCTACAATATTTATTTTACCATATTATATCAAATTTATCTCAATATATACCTAATAAATAATATATATGTTACATTTTGGCAGAGAATGTAGTTGTAATGTACCCAACTTTGCTTGTACATATTATATTTTAAGCTAGAATTATTGATCTCTTATCTACTCGAGAACACGATTGAACTCACGTTCAGGCATTTGCATATGACTCACCTTCATAGAGAGCTCGATGTTCCAAATACGTGACCGTCTTAAAATAAATATCGTCTTGAATTTCTCACATTTGTGTAGTGTCTGTTTGGATTTCCAATAGTTCCGTTCTAAAGAAAAGAACATTTTCTACAACATGCGGCAGAAGAAAATGTGTTAGATAAATACGGTAAACCTTAAAAATAAATAAATGAAATTGCAGGTTACTGCCAGAAAACATATGCACTAAATAAATGAAATCTTCTACATTGATTCCAGAAAAATGGAAAGAAAGCATTTTTTTTTTATTTTTAAATAAATAAAAAATTTTGGTTAATCCAGAGTGAATTGCTTTATTATATATTCTAAATTTTTACTTTTTTTAATATATTAGATTTTTTGAAAGCTTTGGTAAATCAAAAATCTTTTTTCATATCAAAAATAATTGTTTTTTATAACAAAAAACATGCGAGAGTCAGATCGTCATACTTTTAAAGGGCATAAATATAAAAAGTTTTGTCGGTTGGATTCGTTTAAACAAACTGAAAATATTTTTATAAAATAGAGGCTTTGGGACTATGTATAGAAGATATTACTATCATAATAAGATAATTGGATAGTTATTTTGACTTTTGATTACTTTTTATCTAACATCATCCATATATTAGTACCATACATTAAATTTTTATCATTAAAACAAGATTATATACTTACAGTAAGTCAGCGAAAGAACAAACATCCAATTTAGCGCAGACTAAAGTAGAATAAGATACATTGTAAATCTCCCGTAGCTCGAAATGTCTAAAGCCACAATAATTTTTCCACTCTAAACGCGCGTTCCGCTAAAGACGTCTACCCTAAAGGGGCATTAATCAGAACCTAGGGGCGGTATAGCGTTGTTTAAATGTAAACAAGTTGACAATATGGATGTAATTCTTGTTTTTCTGAGCCGCGCCGTATTACATTTTAAGTTCGAGGCGAAATGGGAAAAAGGAGCAATTAAAGTAAAGCAATTTTCACGAGATTGAAATTTTACATGAACGGGAAATAGTTTGTTGATGGGTTTGTAGATTAAAAATTATGGAAGTTTTTAAGATTTATTTTTATCAGAATACTGTACTGGATGGATATTTTTCCGGATGGTTAATAAATATTTCTCCAGTTCCGTTAGTATCTTTAAACACAAATCAACTCTTTTCTGCAATCCTAAAAAAACGTTATGCAACATTTGGAGTGAGTTTTGGGTCTCTTCACACTTTAATATTATGTTATTTATGAGTTATGCTTATTAATCTATCATTTAAATTATTTTCCTAGATATTGAAGGTATATTGAAGTTAGAAATGCCGATTTTGTCTTTGAAAAAAAAAAAATACACACCAAGCTTCTTTGACATAGTCCAACCCAGATACCCAACAAGCTGAGATTTGGAGTCTAGCCTAACAAAAATGTAATATTGAAATGTAAAATTATTCAGTCTACATTTCAGCCCAAAATATCAAATCAGTTATATTTAAAAAAAAAAACGACACAAAAAAACGATGATAATTTAAAATATTCCACCTTTCGACCTATTTCCAAAATGTGAGTACACAGACTAAACTCGAGGGTCTGATCTGAACCGAAACCAATTTGTCGCATATGGCGTTACCAAAGCAACGAACTCCTTATCATGTTATCAAATAAAAAGATATATTTTGTAACCTTTAGTCGAGCAGGTTCTCCAATTTATATGATAATGGCGAAAACGCAAATAAAAGGTGCGCGACTCGATTTGACGCGTTTCAAATTTGTGCAGTCGAGGAGTCGACTGAAAGCTTTTCCTCATTTGCACGTTTTATTTTTATACATTTTGTTACCGACGAACGAGGTTCAGTTTTTTGTTTTTATTTTTGATTTTGCTGCTTCATCTGATGTATATTACTTATATACGAGAGCACTGCTGAAATTCGTGGATTATAGTTACTTCTGGCATTGACTTTTTTAATATGGTCAGTTTTTACAAAAGGGCATAACTCATTTTTTTCGATTATAAGTTATATAGTGGACGATGTGCCTTGTACGGTATATTTTCTTCTCTCAAAACGGCATATCTTTACGATAAATGGCAACAAAGTTACGGGGAAAAGTGTGTTTCGGCATATCTCAGTCGAGACAAATTATTACTTTTACAAAAGGCTCAACTCAAGATAGGCCTTTTTGAGAAAACATCAACCAAATTTATTATCTGCGTCATATAAGAGCATATCTCAATTTAATACAAAAAAAAAACTAAATAAATAAAGTTTTAACTCCTCTACGACTTTTTTCTTTAAAATATTGGTTTTGAAAACATTTCATTTGTTCCAGGACAATTTAAAAATACTGTAGGTAGGTATAGGGGAATCACACATTCAAATTCATAAAGACGAGATTCGTTTGCCCGACAAAATAACATAACCTCACAGTTTGTGTGTTATTGTCTCTAGTGAGCACATTGTGTGGTAACTCTTTGACGATTTAAGTGCTAGTTATATTGTATTTTTATTGAAGATTTTTTATGAAATAACTAGGTATGTATTACTAATTATGTATATTAGGATTTAGATTAAGATTAATAGTTATTTTCATCGAAAAATAAGCGTAATTGCAATGTAGGTTCATTTTGGCCCAGTTATACAGGCCTGAATGTAATTTAATTTTTATCCTTCACTATAAAAAAGTTGAATTTTACTGGCTTCAAGAAGATCAGACGTATATCGAATCATTAAAATAGTAAGCTATCATGTTTGATGTTTGTTTTATGACCCCATTTTTTATCCATAATACAAGTCCAACGGAGATTAGACGTTTATAGGTTTTGAAAACAATTATTGTATAGGATAAAAAATTATGTATAAACAACTGCGCCGATCCTGGCCACTTCTTGAGGCCTGAAATAGCACTTTACTGTCTAGAAATACAATATACTATTTAGCGGAGCACTCATCAAGGAAAAAATATTATGAAGGTAGGTACCTGTAATTTTTATTTGTTTCAGATAACTAATTAATAATCATGGATATTTTAATTAAATGGGAAGATGGAACAGAAAATGTTGTTGCAATTAAAGAATTGTCTCTTATTAATGGATTAAACCGTTTCGAAAAAAATAAAAAAGTAAAAATGGACTATGGTGAAAAATTGTACTATGGAATAATAGTTGCTACAGAAAATAATGATGATAGTGACGCACAGTACAACAGCTCTGATGATAATAGCCAGGAGGAAGTTGGCTTATCAAAATCTCCTTTAAGCGAATGTGGCTCTGATGATAATATTTCTTCCATTGTTAAAAATAACAAGAATAAAGGCATTAACAAGTGTAGTGCATTACGTTGCAAAGCAGTTGTTTGTAATAATCATGATCTATGTCGGCGTCACTTATTTAGTCTAGAAAATTGGACAAATAAAGAATTAGAGAAAAAGTCTGGAAAAATAAATAAAAGAAACCCGAAGGCAAATGAAGCGGCTAACTTAGGAAATGAAGACAGCAACGAAAAGCTCTGTGAACACCCAAATTGTTCATTTGAAATATATAGTGCTTGAATCTGCTTTGAAATCTGTTTTGTACACTTTGAAGCAGATAATAACTGCCGCTTATACCAAGATTACAATCCGGAGAGCTGGTTTCCAGTCGAGGGATCTCCAAGAGAAGTTTCATTTAAAAAAATCAGGAAAATAAATTCATATAAATTAGCTTAAGAATAAAGAACAAAGAACAGTGTTATGTAAGACCGAAAACAATGAACCTCATGCCACCAAAACAATTGGGATCTCGATGTAATGGGGCATCATGTTCAAAACGTAATAAGAAATGTAGTCTCTTCAGGGATGGTAAAAGGCAAGAGATTATGCAAGATTTTTATTCAATGAAATCCTTGCAGTTACAAAGAGAGTGCATTGCAAGGTACATCAAAATGGAAGAAATCAAACAAAAAACTACACAAAAAGAGGTATTTCGAAGAAATAAAAGCAATTATTACTTTCTTCCGTTAGACGGCGACGAACTACCAGTTTTTAAAACATTTTTTAATAATACTCTGCCAACGACAGCAAAGACTATAAGTACAACATTATCGAAGAAAAGTACAACTGGAATTATAGAAAAAGAACAGATAGGAGGAAGGTATAAATTACAAGTCGATAGAGAACTTCATTTAATTAATGTAATTTCCGAACACATAAATAAATTTGGAAGAGTTGAATCTCATTATTGCCGTCAAAATTTAACTCGTGAATATTTACATGAAAATTTTAGTCTACTAAAGATGTTTTCCATGTATCTATCAAATGAGTCTGGACCTCTAATGAAAGGAGCTTATTCTGTGAACCGAAAGTATTCAAATCTATGAACCTATCCTTTCACCGACCCAAAAAGGATCAATGCAGCCTTGTCATATAATAATGGCGATGAAGAAAACAAAAAGGAGTTATCACTAGAATATGAATCACACATCGTTAGAAAAAATAACGTTAGAAAAATGAAAGATGAAAGTAAATAAATGGCTCAGCAACCGAACTCAAAGTATGCTTGTGCTGTTTTAGACTTACAACAAGTTTTTTCACTTCCAATATCAAAGAAGAGTGCTGTATTCTACAAAAGAAGGGTGTCAGTTACAACTTCAATGTTTATAATATAGCATCTAGAGACTGATTGCTATTTGTGGCAATATGACGGAATATGTAAAAAATAAAAATTTGGAATATGTTTTTAAATCAATCTCAACTTTACTTAATTAGTATTAATCACACTTGAATTTTCACTAATTTTTCATAAAATTAAAGCAATTTCGCAAATTCTAAAGGAATTAGCGGAACAAAGTTCGCAAGTAATTTCGCATCGCTTCAAACACTTCTTTCCTCCTTTTCGAATAGATTTCCGAAGGTGATACCAATCCGAATTGCACCCTAAAGATCAATTCCAATTTTACACTTTTCATCGCACTTTTCTACTAACTCGCTCATTGTTAAAAGACTTTACACATAAATCACGTCACAGAAAACAGAGATGACGTTCTTCAAAACTAAGTAAAACGCTTTTTGTTCCCACTTAAGTACAAAAGCAGCTTGAGCCCTTCAAAAGTTTTGTATCCCTTCTTTTGATGGGAAATTTTTGGGGGTGTTTGAAAACTTTCTTTGTTATCTTTGTATACCGAAAAGGACTCTGTTCGCTCTCCTCTGGTTTGGTCATATTAGCCCCAGATAGAAGTGATAGGGGATGTTCTTAGTTTGTTTATGGGTTTTTCGTGGATTACAGCCAAATGAAATGTCCCTTTTCTTTGTAAGGAATCGGAATTTTAATGAGATTTCCCTTCAGAGGCATTACGACCGGGTTATTTTGTAAAAGTTTAACAAGTTTGAGCAAAACGGAATATTTGGCGTTAAAGTGTTGAACGGTTTTCATGATTTCATGGATGAAAAAACTGATTTTAAATTATACTTAAAATATATTACTTATTTAAAAACTTATTTATTAGATAAAACGAGTTATTTGTTATTTTCATCTCTCAATAACCAGTTGTTATATTTTTTTCATGTTGTGAAATTTTATGTATTCTCTGGAAGCGATTGCATGTAAGTAACAGGTATATCAATTGGTATAAAAGGAATTATTTGGAATTATAATATATAGACTTAGTGCCGATCTTTTCAATTCTAAGTAAAGTTACATGTAGGTTTCTTTGACATATTAAAAAACAATAATCCTATAGATTAATCAGCAAGTAGTTATTTTTAATTTAACTCAAAGGTGAAACAAGTGGCACTTTGCATATTCGGCATATTTTATGCAAATAAAGATTTATTTGCATTTCTCAAAAATATTAGCATATTATGCATAAAAATTGCATATAATTAGGTTATAGTTAATTTTTTTGCAATATTTGTTTATTTTTTCCTGTAACTGGTTTTATCATAAAACTTAAACTCAACTTTTTAAGTATGTACTTGCTTAAGTATAGAAATATGATTTCTATCTATAGGGCATGTAGTTTTCTTTAACTATTTATGTATAATATTAATAATAGAAAAAATTTCTAATAATTCGTATTTTTTTTTTTTAATTTGGTGTCATCGGCATCGACTGCTAAGGTCAGTAGCCTCGTGTTCTATGTAGGCTTTGTTACTGTTTCCCAGCGCCACTTTAGGAACAGCACTGTTAATTAGAACCCAACAGTGAATGGTCGAGTGGGGAATCCTACCAAGGCATCAGAATTAATTTTAAATAATTACATTAAATAAAAAAATCCCGGCCAACGGTAGGATTCAAACCTGGGACCCTTGGATCCACAGGCAGAAACTCTACCACTGAGCCACCCACCCCATAATAATTCGTATTGTTTTTATTTTAAATTTTCATTTTGAATATGTCATCACCAAACGTGAATCAGTTCGTATATAAAGTTACATTCATTAACGTTGACAAAACCTATGTGGAGGTAAATAAAAACTGACAAAACCTTATTTGGAGTATCTCACATCGAACATAAATCTGAATAATACCGACAGGCAGCACTGAACGTGTACGCGAAATATATCAACTGAAATCCAGATAACAAGGTTATTTTTTGTTTCTGCTGTTCGGTATAAATCACAGCCTTTGTTTCAGGTATGCTGATGTACAATAATTTCATAAGAAATGTAAGAATGAGTCTTACAGCAACCAACATGTAAACTGGAGGTATAAAATATTATTAATAATACTTCTTGTTATAATTTCCTTAATCAGTTTATTTTCTAAATGAACGAGTGGCACTCGCCTTTCCTCGATCACGTGGGATTTAGCGACTGTAGCACAGGTAGAGATAGGTATTTCTTGATAAAAGAAACGAAGGACCAGGATTTCTTCTAAAAATGTATTAACGTAAATATACAAATCAACAGTACTTGATAGTTTAATTGAGATGCTTAAAATGCAATGGCATGCGTGAAATTACTTTTATTAGATGTGATTTTTTAATAACTTTTATGATGTCTTTTCCCTACTATGTTTTTTAATATAAAGAAGGTGTAACATAGTAAACCGAAGGAGTCTATGAGGTAATAAAATAAATACCAACTAAAACTAAGTATTTGGGACCAAAGAGTTTGGCACCAAACACTAAACGTAATATAACTAACACCGTTTGTCTTCTTGGCTCTTTCACTTTTTTTCACTTTTTTTACAATACAATTTACACTAAAACATAAAAATCTTTCAAAGTTCTTATTTTAAAACGTACCTACCTCTAATGATCTTCCATTTAAACGATACTAATAAAGGTATTTTCCGAAACAAGGACACAATTCCATCTGTAAACATCTGGAAAGTATAGAGAGACAAAAGTCAATATCTCTAAGAGCTCTAATATCCTGTGTTATGGACCTAATGAGCCATAAAATAACGAAAACCAATTTAGGAGTTCTGCCAAATTAAATTTTTTATCTGGAGGAAAAACAGAGATGTGCAAACTCGGACGCAGTAAGAATGAGAGGTGGTTTTTTCTTTCTAAATTGAGGTTCGCGACGTCGATAATGATTAATTAAAAATCTCTGCTGATTTATTTTTGTAAATTAATTAAGATTAATGGATTATAATGAGTTATAAAGAAAAATTACACTTGGAGTTGCAGTTGCGAACTTTTAATGTTTTAGACTGGTACTTTAGTCACTTGCAAATTAATTATTATTGCACGTAGAGGAATTTTGGAACAGTGGAAGGCAAGAAACTTATAAATCGAAAAGATTGTAAGCTAAGACTCGGCTACTTTTATTAATAACAATAATAATAACAGTTGTATAGAAATTACATTTTAAAATTCTATCTGTAACGTGTAAAGGGTGGGTTACCCCCACGGCAACCAAGCCTCTTATATTCACATCTTCTACATTTATGTTTGCTGCTCGCTTTGAGAGCATGTTATGTTTCCACTAGGGTGGAGCGAAAAAAAATGTTTTTATTTGCATGATGTAATAGTTACAAAAAGTCTTTAGAATCACATATTACGCATACCAATTTTTGTATCAATCGCTTTATTTTTAGAAGGTCCGCCATACCCACTAATATTAGGCGAGAAATTGAAAATTGAAACTTTTTAAAATATATATATATATAGCAATAATTATACTAAGGTTAGTCGTATAAACCATACTATTAAAACTAGTAAATGTATTTTTACCTTGTTTAGTTGCTCAATCGAGAGTCGCACTTCCGTTTCTGTCGTAAGTGAAAGAGTGGGAGTTAGTAGACGCTTGGGCTACGGACCATTGGCTTTGGCTTTTATTTAACTATTTTCATTAGTGCCAATTAGTTTACCGAGTTGTGAAGATCGTGTATATTTTATTTCCTGGTATTTACGTACTTGAGGTGTATTATTTCTCAAAACTAGTCTCTTTTTAAAGTTAAAATGGCTGGTGCCGTAAAAACTCGAACCAAAACTTCATGTCCAATCTTTGGACTAGGTAAAGACTTTGATGAACGCGTTTTGTTCACATACTTCTATGTTATGAAGTGCTATATCAAAGGGCATCATAAACTTATATCTAATATTAATTGAAAAGACCCAAAT